TAAATGGAGAAGGAAAAAGAGAAAATATTGTCTATCAATAAATAGTAAATAAGCCCTTTTCTAATTCCAAACTATTGTATCCACATTCCATGCGTTTCATGTTGACGATTACGCATGCCTACGTGCAAGGTATGGAAACAATTTCATGGATTTTGGTGAAGAATGTGGATAGACATGCGTACGCAAACACGATTAGGATGCATACGTAATTATTATTGTCACGCATTGTGCAATGCGTCTCGTATTAACATTTTTAGCGATCGTATATAAATCATTATACCCGATCAGCATGCATAATAACAATCGCAATCAAATAGCGTTTAACTTCACATTTTTTAGTTATCATTCGTTCGCCATTATGCAAAACATTCAGAGAAAAATAATTATATTTAATTTATCTTTATCAGACAAAAAAGTAGAGTATTTCAAGCAACACTTTTTCATTTGTTCGTTAATTGTTTCCAGGGTTGTTAGTGAAATAAAAAAGTTTTCTCTAACTGAAGCTTGAAAAGAGCACTAAATAAAAGCAAAGAAAAAATATTAAAATTTGTTAATTTTGGATAAAAAAATACAATACAAAATAAATGGAAAATGATAAAAGGAAATAAAATTTTGTTCTACTTTTTGAAGCATTTTTAACACAAAAACTCTTTAATCTTATATTTTTGAAAGAAGAGTATTTATCTTTTCGTCTATATTTCTACGATTTTTTGAATTTTCAAATATAATTTAGAGTTTCTTGATTTTTAATTTATTTCATTAAATTTATCTTTTATGTGTGTATGTGTGAGCGTGTTGTGTACATTAATTGCTTATTAAGATTTAACTTAATTAGAAATTTTTATCTTGACATTATATAATTTTGAAAACATCTCTCTCTCGCAATAAATCTGTCCGCGTTAAAAAAATGTACGATTACTAAAACATATAAATATTTTGTATAAAAAATTGTTTTATAATCTTACTATATTACTATAAGTAATTTACGAAATGTCCTTAATACGTATCTTAATTTTGCAAAATCAGAATATTATAGTTTTTTTAACTATATCTCTCTCTCTATTAATAGCTTTCTCTAATCATTTACTATAAATAAAAAATATTTACGGTGCTTTCTTAAATAATTTAAAAAATTTTATTTATTATTTTTAAAGAAATAAAGTTTAAATTTAGAATTAGTATTATAGTAATTTAATTTTATCTTAGATTAATAAATTTCTTAATTCTCTAACTTTTCCCAGTTTTCTCGGTTTTCTCTAACCACTAACAACTCTGGTCTAGCAATGCAATGATACTATCTGCATTCTGCATTCGTGTATTATTTGTACAATACAATGTTTTCGTGTTGCGTTTAAAAGCACGTTTCTGTCTTTTCTCATACATTCATGAACTTGATACATTTTTGCCTGCATGGATAAAAAACAATAATAATTTGACATGAAATAATACACAATGATTAATAATTCGTTATCTACGGTTGTGAGATTAGTTTTCCTTCATTCTTCTTCTTTTATTTTTTACAAAAAATGTTTATAAATAGATAACTGCCACGACATTTTCAAACATCTTTAAAAATACCGTACATTTTTATTGTTTTTCTTCTCTGTGAAGATGCCATGACAATATACATTAATAAAAATTTTCGTACACGAAGCGTCTGAATAAAGAAAGAAATAAAAGAACTAGAAATGGTGTACCTTCTAAATTTATTTCTGTCGTTTTTATGGCTATGTGGCATGCATGATGCTATCACTAGATCTAATATAAATATTCAAAGCTACGTGTATTTTTCACTCTTCATGAAAATGTCCCTCCATTATTTTTACAAATCTTTCGTGTTTTCTCCTGCTTCGTTTTTATCATTCGTTAACCAACCGAAAGAGAGTGTTTTTTTTTTTTTTTACTCATTTGAGCGTATTTGCTTGCATTATTGTCACACACATTTTTTTATCATATCCCGGGAGTGTTTCTTTTCCTCATCACTAGCGGCTGATCAAGCGAGTCTGCATTCATTTTTCCTTTTCTGACATAGCTTCAACGCGGCGCATTGATAAATATCTCACCTCAGATACCTTAACTTAACGAGCAGTAGACTGGAAAATGCATTATGCTATTTTTGCGCACGTACTGCATCTTCCACGTATTTCCATATTTTCACTGTCGAGCTTTCTCTTACGCTTCCAGACTTCCTCTTTCTCTCGCCGCTAATGACTCGCACGATGGTCGTACGTGCAGTATACAAGCACGCACGCGTGAGTTCAGAATAAACGAGCGATTCTTGTTGCACTTGAAAACTCGCCGAGTAATGCCGAGAATTTTAATTAGAAGCACTTTCGTCACATTTATGTATAACAGGTGTCTGTTAAACGCTTCGATACGCGTACATGTCTGTGTTTTCTCTCCTTTGTCCTGCGTTTTTTATCGGTAACAAAATTACTTTCAGATTTGTTGGTAAAAATGACAAAACTATCATTGATTCTCTCAATATATAGTAATTTTGTGTGTTGGTTTTCCCAAAGTAGTGTGTCCCAGTTTCTGCAAAAATTGAAGGTACGGTGAGTTATGAATATTTAAGATTTTAAGCAAGCGTTGGCCTGTGACTTATTTTGGCTTCAACTTTTTCTACATGACATTTTCATTTTCGTATTTTTGCTTCTCCGTTTCGCTTGGAAATTCGATGTTTGATGTGCACACGGGCATATGCGCAAACGGGTAAACCAGCAAGACGGTTTCGCGCGCTAAAAAGGATTTCTCTCAAGACGAATATATATCCGCCTACCACCGCATGGCAAGTTATTTTTCCTAGAGAAGTAAACGGAGAAAATAAAACTTTTAGTTGCGGGTTTTCTATTTCGCCTTCTATCTACAAGTGTTTCCCAGGATTATCCGGGACATGCATGCCGGCACATCTTTATGTGGGCTCTCTTATTTTCTGCAGGCCTTCTTTTGAATGTCGGCACATTCATCATGCATAAAAAATTAACTAGTACTATTTACTCAGCGTGTCTTATTGTTAGTGTATATTTTCAGAGGTAAACCAAATGTCTTTGTAGAAAAATATATATTGCGTTAGTTCTTTAGTTCTATCATATATGTATTTATAGTACGATGTAGTTCTCGGAGATTGCATTTAGATAATTTTACAAGAAGCTTATAGCCTTTGAATAGAGCCAAAATATAAAAAAATATTTATACTAACGTTTTAAACTAATGGAATTGTTAGAGAATTAAGAAATGTAATAAGTTTTTACCGAATATGATTAATATATTTTTTTACACATCTCTCTGATATGTGAATAATTAATTTCATTTATCACAAGTTTTTACTAAAAATAATGATTAATAGAATTTTTTAATCTTTTGATATGTGAACAATTAACCTCTTTCATCATAATTCATCAAAGAGTAAATAAAAATTAAATATTCGCATACCGTCGTCTCCTTTTTTGTTCTACTTTCTTCTTTCAACAACGTGAATTTTTGTATGCTTCAACAGTAAGGATAAAAATGCATTTATTGCGCTGTAATGTCGGTAAGTAAATTCGCGTTAAATTATAATAATTATATGCACGTTAAACATTTGATATCAAAGGTTAAAAAAAATAGATAGACGTTTCGATTTTAAGCAGTAATGCATCAGGACGCGATATAAAATAATATACATTTGCACTCTATCTCGGAATAATTGGACAAGGAAGTAATTATTAGAAGATTGCTTGCAATATTGCTTCTCTTAGATGCGATTAATACTTTATGAACGTAATACGCCCTAATGCGACTTGTACCGCGAAATGTAAATTCAAGCGTTAACTTTTCGAGCGCCTCATTCAAATTTCACCTGCGATTAACGTTAAGGAGCTTTTACGTTAAGAGCACTGCGCTCGCGCGAGGAAATATCTTCTTTCTGACTAATTTTTCTCAATATAAAAGCGTAAAAAGCATTTGAAAATAAACATAAAAATTTCTTATAAATTACTGTGATTATATAATTGATAGGACAGTACATTATAGATGTCTCCGTCATGGACGTTGAAAAGACATTCCCGTGGACTTCCTTGAAAGTGAAAGCTTTATTCACTTCACCCAATATAAGCGGCGTTCTATAATTCCACAAAATTTAAAAGGCTCCTTTTACGAACCGCAGTCGAGTTATGACGCCTCATCGTTCAATACACAGAAAGAGTCATCTCCTAGCACTTTTCAACAATACAATGCGCCTATAGGAATTATCAAGTTCTATGTCTCCACACATTATCATGTCGCTCACGTAATGAAATACGTCGTATATATATCCTATCTCATTTAATCTACATGTACGTGTTCATTATTGTGGGTATTTCTCATCTTCCCCGCATAACAAAGATATTAATGACATCGACAATAGCAACGATAAAACGAGCTTGCAATTCTATTTTACTCAATATAATTATACATTTTATGTTCAAACCTCATTTTAACGCAGCTTAATGATGTGGAAAATATTTTATACGATTGTTATCTTTGTACATATTTTGAATGATTGAATGAGAAATATTGCATATTGGAAGCATTAAGGTACATCAATGTAATTTGCTTTCTTTTGCAAATAATGGGCATTTAATAAATAAATAAGCAAATGTTCGTAAATACGAACAGTATAAATATACTACAAAAAGTGAAAAGAAAAACGGTTTGGCTAGTATCTACAAATTTAGCCAGATCTAAAAATAATTTTATTAATTTATCAGATAACCACATGTAGAATGCTTATATATAAACGTACATTGGTGACAATGCTGCCAAAAGATTTAAGGTTCTAGCAATCAGTTTAAGCATTCTACATTATTTTTATGGTCCAAATAAAATTGTTTTCAAATCTAGCTATAAATTTTTAGATACTTCAGTAAAACCGTTCTTTCTGTGCTTGAATTTTAATTATTTTATATAATATATGTTTAATAAGACGATCATCTGCGAAATTCTTATTTCGAAAAGAAAAGAAATTCTTATTCTTTGCTCACCTTTATCGAGCGACCTGGCCAAAAGGATTGTCGGCAGAATCAAGAAGACCATGTACCATGAGAGCCGGTCCCGCATCCTCGCGAGGTTCCAAGTCCTCCTGAAAGAGAAACATCCGATTAACATTGCAGTCTTCAACTAACGACTCCATGCCCATCTTTATCACACAAATATGCGTACAGTGTATTTGGAAGGAGAAACTTTGTTCGTACGGAGAGAACTTCGTTTATCATGCACCGAAAAGTCGGCCGCCAACGTGAATAATACGGAGAAACTCAACGGAGAAAATAAGATTTTCACGTCTCTACTGAGGTGCATATGAAAACGTGTACACGTAGTCCAACCTGAAAATAAATTTTTCCTGGCATAGGCGTAGCATTGACATCGTTCAATTTATCGATTTTTTGTCATAAAGCCTATTTTGTATTTTTTTTTACTATGAAAAGCTTTCTGCTGAAGCAATTTCCATTTACGATAATCAGCAATATAACAATAATACAATTCGTAATACAAGTCAATTATTTTTATCTTTCTTATTTCCCTTTCCTCCTCATTCAGAAAAAAAATGTTTAATTTTAAGATATTAAAATATTTTACTCTTTCAGACAAGAACAAAACATTTTAATATCTTAAAATTAAACACTTCATTTTCAGTACTTACTTCAACTTTTAATATGATATCTAATAATTTTAATATATTCATTTTTAATATTATAAAATTAATAAATATATGCAAAATTAAAATTCGAGAAAACACAATGTTCGATATTGAGCGACTTACGACAAGGTTCGCAAGAAATACACCGCAAATTATTGTAGATCTAACAATAAAAAACAAATGCAAATAAAGTGCTAAATTAAAAGTACCGACGCAATATTTCGTCCGAAATATGCGGACAGATTGCTACAACGCATACATAGATATATTTGCCTCTAACTCATTGAACGTTGCGTTGCACAAAAAATACATGCGCTTCGCATGGTGTTTGCTCTGGCACGTGCAGTGGCTTGCAGTTCGTTGCGACGCATCAGATCTCTGGACGGACGCGATACCGCACGCTTTTCGAAGTGCAATTTCGGAGCCACGCGGGGTGCCATTGGTGCTCGCTAGCGAGAAGCTCGACGTACGTCGCGCTGCGTTGCGCTGCACGAACGATAAATTTACGCCACCAAACGCAGCGAAAATGAGAAACGTACCGCGCACCGTGAGAAAAGTACGGAACGGAAAATTGCTGACGCTGCGCCGCTAATTTCGCGCAGTTCGTAACGGCAAAGTATGTCGTTGACACCTCGATTTTCACGGCAAACTCCTGGCGGCGACGTGTCCACGGAGTAATTCAAAATTATTCTGATCGATAGACATCACGCCAGTTTTCTTCAACGTGGACATTGGAACTTTAAATAAGATTACAGTTGCTCGTTTCAATGTTCAAACTTTTGAACAGTGCTGATGTTTCTCAATTATGTTTGAAAATTAAATAGCTGTAATAAATTAATGTTCGAAAACACAAATAGATAAAAAAAAAAGATAAAAAAAATTTCGTTCTTCATTTTTTAAAATATAAAATTTGATATTTTAGTGACATTGTTTTATTATTTTTCTTTACAAAAATATGTTGTTCGCAAAAAATTAATTTTTTTTTAGAAAAATAAACTTTTAAATTTTATATATTCAAAAAAAAATTAATAAAACTTTAATTTTTTTTTATGAATAGAAAAGAAATAAAGATTGTCTTAAATTAAATTAAAAAATACTAAAAATATGTAATAATTTACAATTGAAAATCATCATTAGCAATAAATTGATAATAAATTAACATTATGTTTACATCTCATCTCTAATTTGCGATATGAATGTATACACCCAAGGATTATACTATATTTTTTCGGCGCAAACTTTTCATTTTTAAACGTACTTTCAAAGTTCGAAATAGAGAAAAAGATAAATTTAATAGACGTCAGAATGTTAACAAGTTCAGATTGCGTAAGATACTGTTCCTTCGAGAAAATCAACACCTTGCTTATATTCCATAACGAACGAACGAGTTAAGCTTGCGTTAGCTCGCATAACACTCTTATCCTTTCGAGAATTGCGTAACGCGAAATTACTCGGTCTGCACGTGCTGATTAAATACACGAGAGATTTGCGGAGTCCAGGAAAACGCATTTCTTTCTTACGTATATACGATATCTAACTGATTTCCACCGCACAGTTAATTGGACTGTTAAAAAGTCTTGTCTGTACCGAGTACCATATGGCAATATGGAAAGAGAAGCATGAGATTAACTTGACGAAACTTAACAGTTGATGTATGATGGCATGATAAGATAATCCGACGTATATACTGGATGCAAAAGAATTATGTATATCGACACATATTGTTTATGCTGTTTCCTCGATATAATCAATACGAGTTATAATTAATCCTCAATCAAACATGACATGATTAATAATATTGGTAGTGTGACGAATAATAGCAGAGTAGACGAATAAAATATTTATAATACATATTCCATGATTTGTACGACACGATATGTAATAAAGTACAAATTAAATTTCATACAAAAAAACACAAATATAGAAATGTAAATTACACACAACCTTTAAACGACATTCGTATCTTTTTCGCACTATTTTTAATTTTAACTAAAATATATATGTTCATATTTAATATTTACCCGTGCAATTTCATGCTTTTTGCTTGAAAATATCAGATATTGTTTACATCAGTTTTATGAAAAACTGAAAATAGATTCACCAAAATTTCGATTTTGAAGCAATCAGCAAACAACTTCGATAGTATACAATTATTATTTGCATTAAATATAATTATACATTAAATAAAATTTTTATTTATATTAAATCCAGTGGATTAAATAAACTTAGAATGGCTGACTCCGTTAATGGAAAACATTCATTATTTTTTTCGTTCATGTATCTAGAACAGGGACGTTATTATATTATTGTATAATGACAGAACTAATAATAAAACTCAATTCTCACAAATATGCAGCATTTATCTGGCTCTCCTCTATGCTATTTAACAATTACTACATTTTACGAATGTTATTGTTTGACGATTTAACAATTATTTTACTTATGTTAAGAATTTACAATATATAAATTATTTTGGCACAAATTTTAGAGAGAAAAATAAAGAAATTAATATAAAATTAGACAAGAAATGCAATGGAATATCTATGTAAATTCATGATATTAACATAAATATTAATAATCTTGAAACCCATATTTATTAAATATTTATTAATTACGTCAAAAATATATCGGTAGCTGGGCATATTGTACATTTAATTAAATATTACATATTGTGTGTTTAATTTTTAATACATTAATTTAACATTGGACATTATTACATAAATATTAAATCTTAACCATAAATATTAAAAATTCATGAAATGCATGAAAATGTACCTTTTTAGTCAAATATAGATTGCGCATTTAATGAAGTCATGAAATTCTTTACTTGTTAATAGAATAGTGCTGGTCTAATTAGAAAAAGAATTAGAAAATATTAGAAATGTATGCCTACATAAAATTTTATTTCATTTTATAATTTTCACGATTCTTCGAAGCTTTTAGATTTTGGGATTTGTTGTTGCTAAAAGAAAGTGATGCACATTAAAATCCCGTTTATAATCAATACGCGTTTTTAATACAAGTAATTGCAATGAAGCCGTTATTTATCCAGATAATCGCGTTGCGTGCATTACAAATGCCGGACAAGTTTCGTTTAGTGAGCGGAAATTTGCTTTCCGTTCTCTGGAATAAAAGTTTAAAATATTCTGTTACTTCTCTTTTTTTCCGATAGATTTCGCTTGGCACGATAAACGAATAAATTGTTATTCCACACAATTAAATTCTCCGGAGAACACGAAAGCTGTGAATGTTGCTGTTTCGGTGAGCTATGCGCGCCGAAAGTTTCGACGTTTCGAATTCCAGCTGGCTTCAACGTCTCCAGTCCTAGATTTTCGCAAACCGAAATCCTACTTAACGTCGGTACGGATCGTTGACACGCTTATTTTTGGAATTATCTTCGCGCCCACTCGGGAAATTCGTCCGACGTGACGAACGATTTTACTTGCGCTTAGAGCTCACTTTCAATTTAAACTCGAGCTTCAGAAAAAGTTTTACGAGAGCTAACCTGGTAGCGTCGGTAGGTATTCACTGGAGGTCGCCATACCGTGGAAAAGTTCGTGGCCTTACGCGGCGAGAGTGCCTCGCAACTGAACGAACCAGAAATTATTGTGCACGCTTCTAAACGCTCCCCCGAGTGAAATCATGTTTAATGGAATAATAGATCACGGTTTGGAGTATTAACACTACGTCAATATTAGCGAACGTAACTAACGCCCGTTTGTTGACGCGTGGATTCGAGCTTCAATGATAATTCGTGCGATTTGCGTCTGATTCTTGCGGTGAGTGGACATGACCGCCACGTTTAATCTTACTGATGTTTGTCGAGCAATCGTGAGCCAATTGACAGATGCCTATCATCATGGAGATATCTCTGACATTCGCCTTAATCTAAAGACATACACGAAGTATTACAGTAAATCCGAAAGATTATACTTACATCAATGTAAGCTGAGATTCACAAATAGATCCAGATTATGCACCTATACGAAAATACTCGAAAAAGTCAAAATTACAATCGTATCTTCATCTAATGTTAAACAGATGAGAATAGACCATAATGCGATTTATACCATATATATATACTATGTATTTTCTATGCTTTCGAAATCTGAATAAATGTGAAAATATTCCCAATGATCATTGGTGTGTATTTGCGAGGCGCTACGGCATGGATTACGGATAGTCGCCTGCAGAAATATATCCACTGTAACTTTTAATTAATTAAGAGATAAGTCAAAAGTGAACTCCGCGAGCAAGCGTGAAACGCGAGGGAGGTATTCGTAACGGCGCAGAATTTATTGTACGAGTTAGAGAATTCTGGTCTTGCTACTTATTTATCGAGCTAGTGCTTTATATACTTTTGTTAGTCGTTGAACCCCCGTTCCATTACGAAAGTTTTTCGGATCGCAACTTCTTCTCC